GTCGGCCATACAAATGTTTCTCCCGGTCCGGGAATCGAACCTGGGACCTCTGCGTGGCAGTCCGGCATGGTAATCGTTCGGCCACCGAGGCAGTTTATTTAAAAGTAAGCTTTAACTTTGTACATTTAACTGCGCCAGTATGGGAAGGGCTACACCGCCATTGAACGGTCGCCAGAGCCTCGTTAGTTACTGCAGGATGTACCGTGTGCAGGTGAGCTTACAGTAGGAGCTTAGATGATTATTACTCCTTGACATCGCAATGTATGTATGCATGTAACCATTACGGTATATTTTTAAAGCATACCAATTAAAAGAAGGGTGCAACTAAAATCCTTCCAGCAGATGTATGTCTGGTGCACCTCGGGCAACAATCGGCGAGTACCTTACGTCGATTGGCAAATCTTTTCACCACGGTATTTCGATAAGAAGAAGAAAAACTTAAAAGATGCGCTAAGCATGGGCCGAAATGACGCGCTAAAGATTCCATACTCGAATTCTTGCGTTACAGGGAATGAATTTCAACACCGCTGTTTTATTTTTAGAGTTTCGAACCAAAAAAATACGTAAAGAAACCCTTACAATGAGACTACCGAATCCACTTATATATAATGGCAATTTTTTCTCAAAACTACTATTTGTGTCGCCTTACCTTGCCCGCATCTAGTCTAATTAATAATTTAAAAATAAATTTTGTTATTTAGAATGAGAACCGAAGGCTTTTTGTATGTTGGGATTCACGAAATGTATAAAATACGTATAATTGAATCAAGAATTACTGATTTTAAAAATTTTAATGGGAGCAACAAAATTGTGTCTTCACAAGTTCCAAATTACTTATATGTTACTGAATTCAAGTAGCATAGTTATTTTGAAAGAATTACGCAAAACCAATTCATTGTAGTCCTGCCTGCGTCAGTCCTATGATGTGTATTACTATTATTACGTACATGTATTGTTATTTACATTTTAATCGTTTGCTACCGTTATTGCCCGTCTTACATCGGTAGTACCATGGGAAAATTGTCTGCCGTGTTACTACTACTACCTCAGCTGGTATATTGCCGGCAAATATTTTTTCCTGTCGTACTACGTTTACAGGTTTCCATGGTCGCGGCTGACTAGGACCTATACGGGGCCCGAAAACTTATTTACTATATACTAGTTGGTACTAATTTAGAATATGCATCTCCCATTTGGAACCTTCTGTACCAAAATCAAATAGATCACATAGAAAGCGTCCAAAAGCGATTTCTCTTTTTCTTCACGCTCTACTAACGAAAGCTGCACTTATTGAAGGGATATACGAGGACAGACTAAATTCTTTTCAACTGTGCACCCTTCAACGTCGCCGCTAGATTGCTGATCAAGTTTTGCTATGCCGGCCGTTTGGTTTCGAGGCAAATTGATTGCTCTAAACTTTCACACAACTGATTTTCTATTCCATATCGCAACGCCAGGTTAAGTAATTATCTTCCTTTTAATAACAAACCGTTCAAAACTAATGTTAGCTCCTATCGTCGGGGATAGTGCAGCTCCACGTATATAGTATTGGTAAAAAGCGCGTATCTGCGCCAAACCCAATTTCACAGGAGAGGGATTTAACGGTATAACTTTGTTATTTCAATAGCTACGACTTTCATTTTTTGCGCAGTAAGCATTAATTTATGTTGTCTAAGGACTGATAATAATTGATTCCCGTAAATCACGCTAATTTAGTTACCACGACAATTACGCGGCGACTAAATTACCGAAATGGAGTCTTATGAGATATGTCGCTATCCCCGACCCTATGCTTGAGCCGAACTTGCCGAGAGCTAATTTCTCCTCAACGCATTGCTCACTCAGTATGAGAATTCAGATAATTATATTTTTTGATAAACAGTATGTTATCCGGCGCAGGATACTGCTGTCCGTGAAATACCTTTCGAGCACTGGTGTCTTGTAGAGTGAGTTGCATGCTGTGCATAGTGTGTCATTATACTTTCAGTTTACACTTATAATTTTACTTTGTTTATCATTTTTCTTTGTTTTAAATTTAATCAGTTTGATCTGTAAGCGTTTTGGTACCGTAGATCTGTAAACTTTCAAGTGTTTTCAATAACAATACATGAAACGGTAACAAGTCCAATATAGAAGTAATAGATTTAAAAATACTTCCAAATAAAACTTTACTAGTAACAATTGAAGCATTGGACGTATCACGTAAAAGTGAGATTAATAACGCACACGCACATACTCAACATAGCCCCGCACTAGGGAAACCCTGTGTCGCGGGTGCCATGGACACACACATAGACAACCACAAATTACACCCAAACTCACGAGAGAAATAAATGTAGGCCATACAAATACTTCTCCCGGCCCGGGAATCGAACCTGGGGCCTCCGCGTGGCAGTCCGGCATGGTAACCGTTCGGCCACGGAGGCAAGAAATTTGAAAAAACATTTAATATCTTGTATCTTTTTAATATTTATAATATTAGGGGTTAAAGTATGAAATTGCCGTTTTATTGCAATAGGTTCTTTGAATTTTCATAGAATCTTCATGGTTTGAGGTTTTCGAATGAAACTTTTTTCAAATGGTTTCTGTGAATTTTTTTTTTTTTTTTTAAATTTGAAACATTTGAATATCGACTTTCAATTGTTTTTGTTATTCAGTTTAGACAAGAAAGATGGATACTGCGAAAATTCGAGTGATTTTTGAATACGAGTTCCGACGCGGAACTAACGCGGCAGAAACAGCCCGCAATGTCAATGCTGCGTTTGGAGAGGGGTCTACTAATGAACGCACCGTGCGATTTTGGTTTAAACGCTTTCGTGATGGAAATTTCGACTTAAAGAACGAGCCACGAGGATGACCGCCCACACAGGTGAATAACGATGAATTAAGAGAGATAGTGGAAGCCGATCCTAGTCAAACTACCCAGGAATTAGCGGCATGGTTTAACGTTACCTTACCCACAATATTGACTCACTTGCGTCAAATCAATAAAATAAAAAAATACGAAAAATGGGTGCCTCATGATTTGACTGATCTGCAGAAAGAAACGCGTGTTGAAACTTGTGTTGCCTTGTTGAACCGGTACAGAAATGAAGGAATATTGGATCGAATTGTAACATGTGATGAAAAGTGGATTCTTTATGATAACCGGAAAAGAAAAATGCAATGGCTGACCCCAGGTCAAATGCCACAACAGTGTCCTAAAGCAAAACTTACCAATAAAAAGGTAATGGTAACTATTTGGTGGTCTCAGCATGGTGTTATTCACTATAGTTTTCTCCGATCTGGTCAAGCAATAAAGGCAGATGTCTATTGTGCCGAACTCCGAACCATGTTGACAAAACTAGCAGTAAAACAGCCCCGACTCATGAATCGATCTTCACCATTATTGCTCCACGACAACGCGAGACCTCACACAGCACGAGAAACCATTTTGACCCTTCAGGAACTGCAGTTAGAAACCATTCGTCATCCTCCGTATTCACCAGACCTTGGTCCAACGGACTACCATTTTTTTCGTGATTTGGACAATTATCTACGTGACAAGAAGTTTTCTTCCCAGGAGGCAGTACAAAATGCTTTCACACAGTTTGTGCAGTCTAGATCGTCGGAGTTCTATCGCAAAGGCATTAATAACCTTCCCATTAGATGGCAGCAATGTATAGATAATAATGGCAACTATTTTGATTAAATAAATTTGTTAAAAATTTAAAAAATAAACAATTTAGATTTTCAGTACAAATCGGCAATTTCATACTTTAACCCCTATTATTTAAAATATGACTCTTATATACTTTATTATTTATTTATTCTATACTTTAGATAAAAGATTTGGGTATTATTATTATTTTAAAACTATTAGAAAAATTTGAAATTTTTTTCTTGTCTTATCCGCCCTCGTTGCACCAGTAAATTAGTGGGGCGTTCGTTTTATTATTGGTTTCTTAAGGAAATAAATTATGAATTTGTTTTATTATAAGTTATATTGAAAAATTCAACGTATTTTTTAATCATTAATTAAATTCACTGGATTGAAACGAATCGACGCTATCATCTTCATCAGGTCTCACTGGCTTCCTAGATGTTCCATGTTGAGGATGAAGTCGCTCGTTTCAGACATTGTTTTTTTCATTAAAATAAGTTTTTACAAACGTGTAACGTGTCCGAAATTCAAACGCACATTTATAATGCGCACAAGCGCGAAGCGTCACCTTCTAAATGGATGAAGATTACGCCTTATAGAAGGCAGATCGAAATGAATTTTTGTTACAAGATACTAGATAGTTTTTTTCATATTTTAATGCAATAACATCAAAACGGACTTTGGGTGCCGAACGCCCTTGTTGTCCCAATTCTTCAATTGTAGACCGATTTCAAATTTGTATATTCCTGGAAATGTTTAATGTAACGGAAATGCATACAGTATTTTATACTCACTTAGTTTCACCACTAAAAAATAGTACCAATTTTAAATGTACCAAAATGTATAAATACTTTTTTTTATTTAGATTGGATCAATGGTGGAGAAATTGTGTTCTTTTGGGCTATAATTATGCATTTTTATAAAAAAAACAATCTGAAAAATGTGAAATCTATTTTTATTTTACAAGTTCTATTGGAATCGGTTAATGGAAATTGGGTGAAACCAGTAAATCGGATTCATCCCCTAATTTTCCACCCTAACAGGTGGATAATTTTCTTCAAATTTGAACGGGACTACTAGTCTGTAGTATTCCCTTTCCAATAAAAAATAATCATTGAAATCGGTTCACTTGATTTTACGGAACTAAATGCTTTTTTAACTCCCACCGCCATTGTCTTGGTACTGATATCTATGTGTAATGTAGTTCATGTTTATTTATTGATATTTTTAAATAATAAACGATTGCACTATTATAATTAATACTGCGCGTTCGTAACCATCTAAATGGAGAAAAAGCATATTATATAGCGCGAGGTATTCCCGTAAAGGACGTTAAGGAAAACCTATAAATATATATGAACTAAGTTCAATAGCTGACAGTTCAGTAGTACGCTCAGACATTAGGAGGAGTGGACATAACAACACAATTATGATGGTGACGATGAAAGTTCTGTTCGTACTGGCCATAGCTGTTACTGGTAAGTGTTTTAAATTTTTCATTGTTAAAACTCACATTATTTAAATTTTTTATAAATAATTCGAAGAATATTATGCCTGGGACTTAGTACGTACAAGAAGTGCATAAGAAAAACGAAAGTAATACGAGAGTTAAAGGGTAGTAAAGTAATAAGGGACGTAGCCACTTCTTGTACCGAGGAATAGATATGTATTTATTAGCTTTAACTAAATATTAAAAATTCAAGTAAATTTCTACTTTGACGAACTCGGTGGCCTAACGATTTACATTGTGGATGCTGTATGTTAAGGAGGGTGAGGAATTCGGGAAATGAACTTTTCTTAAGTTGGTTTTGGTATGGGTGTTGTGAGAATTGACCCAGAGTGAATTCCGTCCCTTCTTTGCTCTGGTACTCATAGTAAAAGGAATTCCCTAGTTTGAGATCAGGCAATATGTGTGGTTGTTTTTTTTAATATAAATTTATTTATAGTATTTTTTAAAGCGATTTTTGTTGTTATTTAGACATGATTGTAAATGATTAATCGAGGTTTTATTACTTATTTATTTATTTAGTATAACACATAATTTTTTTTCTAAATTTATATGTATCCGCTAAACTGTAAACATATGTACAGTTTGACTTCAGGATCGAGTGAGTCTCACTGTTAGAATACACACATATGTAGATAGACAATTCAAAATTACGCTTAGAATAGGGTTTGCACCCTTTTTACAATTCTATATTTGGTCGATGAAAATTTTTTAAACTTTCCTACGTCTTTTTGACCCATTATTACGTAGTTTTGCAAGATTTGTAAATAATAAGGAAAAAGGAGTACAAGAACATTTATAAATCGGCAAATAAAAAAAAGAAATTAAACCTTGAGTTTTATGAACGAATTCACATGCGACCCATAAGTGGTGGTTGTATTATTTTATCGTAAGTCGTATTTTGCTTCCAGCTATTTTAGAAGTTACATCCATCTCACCCCCCACTGCAGCACTAACAAAAGTGAACTGCTCTGAGCCCATAAGAGTTGCAGAAATCAATGTAAGTAAGCTCTAGGATTTGTATCACGATGACAGATTAAAAAAATTTGTTCTTAATGTGGGTTATAAATATAAATCACAGGGAAAATGATACGCACTCTTGGTGTATTGGTGTAATTACAACTTTTGAAAAGAGAGGTTTAAAGATTCTACGAACGAAATTAGTCGTTACCTTTTTCGCTTATATAGGAAAGTTATAAAATCTCACACATACATAATTTGTTTCATGTACTTTGTATTACTTTTGTGACTTCCACTTTTGTGGTGTGATCATATATGACTTTATTGTACCAAGGGTACGAATTTACTTATGTATGGTGTGATTCGGGCTCTTTTGGGCTCTATTTTTCAGCCTCAGCTCTATAGTTATAATTTTACGTTTTTTACATTAAAACCTTTGTTAACTTTTATGTAAGATACTTTCGTGAATTAGTAATGTTGAAAAGTCATGCAATTCAAATGTACCGTACAAAACATACATCAAAAACCTTATCAACAATAAAAATTGTCCTCTGGCGTTGTAACGGTTCCACCCTACCAAACACTGCCAATAACTTCGTTCAATGGACGAAAAGTCATGTGCCTCTAAGAGCTTCGTCACTTAGAGCTTTAAATCATAAAGATTTGAGGATTACTGCCACTGCACCCGTTACTCTGAGACAGACAAGTTGATAAGTCCCTGTAGCTTCACCAGCACACTCCAGAACCGGTTTACAGTAACGCTCACAATAATCATTACATTAAAGTAAACCGTAACATACTGCGGAAGGGAATTCTACTTTTATTCCATGATTCAACAAATTTAAAATCCATATATAAACACACAAATGTCTTAAAACTAATGAAAGATATGTAATCACTTGAAATGTGGTTTAAAAAGATAGTACAAATATACATAATAAAATAGCACGAGAACTGTTACCGAACGAAGGACTTTTGTACTTATTCTGTGTAACTGAGCAGAATAAGTCTATTTATGTATTTTTTACTTTACATCATGCCGATTTATAGAATTACATTTACTTATTATAATATATTATTTTTAATACGTAAGACTGTTTCATGAAATTGTAAATGAGGAAGGATAATGCATAAGGACAGACGTCAATGTACAAATGAGGCCTGTCCTCACATCATCGCCATTTGAAGAATGCGCACGGAAAATTAATCACCATAAATATGCCAGGCTAAACGACTTTTCTTATATATTAAATATTATCATCCCCGCAAAAAAATCCCCATTCATAATAGCGCCAAAGTTCCAGAGCACTGCCCTGTCTATCTCTACGAGTATTGGAATTTTTGCAGTCGACATCACGGGCGAAGTCCAGTTCCGGGATCATTTGGAGAGCAAAACCAAACTGCCTTCAAATAAGCTCGGAGCGCTCGTAGGGCTGTTCGTATTGTCGATGATTCTTAACTCACAGACTCTCTATGTGTGTTCTACCGTCTTTATAATGGGGAGTGCTCTGAGGAAATTTTCGGACTAGGGCAACCGTCTAGTTTTCACTGTCGCACCTCCCGTCCATCGCCACATTTTAGATGCCTGGCATTGTAAGACCACGTAGGCATCTCGTTTGTTCCTTCCTCGAACCTGCAAGATCTTCCTCCTAAAGTATTTCCTTTGCACTATGACATGGGGTTCTTCAAAACGTATAGGCAGCTCATATGATGTTGCAAATGTCCATGGGCTCATCGTCACCCACCTCCCATCAATTGGCTCGTCTGCTCGTTTGCGTCCTTCTTTACATAAAAAAAGTAATGGTACCTTATAAAATTAAATATTTGCAACAAAATAATCACGAGAGATATACCACAATACCTAAACTTTTAGGTATTGAGTTAGGTATATACTGCTTTCCTTGCACAACCAACGCATTTCCATTTTGGTAACTTTCGAGATATTGACATTTACGGTATATTTTTTCATTAAAAAAATGTAAATTACGCTGATTATGCTTAACAATGAAACGGAAACTAAATAAGATTAAAAAACCGATTATAGGGAGTTGTAGATCTCGTTTCACAACTGTTTCAAAGTAACAATGTGTGCCATCGATGCGACAAGAAGAAGAACCTGTAACCATTGTTAACAATAACGACTTACGTTATGAATTGAGGACATCCTAAAGAAAAACCAGATCAAGAGTACCTTACACTAATGAGCTTGTATAAAATGCACTGACACATGTTGATGAGGCAAAATATGTGTATCAGAATCGTAAAAGTGGAAAGCTGTGTTTCTGCCTTTTTTTTATGAGACCAAGTGACGGGACGAACAAGGCGCCAACGTAGTGGTAAATACCACGCGTGTCCATAACAGTTGCAGTACCAATCAGTGCTTTAAATCATAAAGGTCGAGTGGCACTACCACTGCGCCCGTCACTCTGAGACATAAGTTGACAAGTCCCACGTGCACGTGTGTAGTGCACTAAGTCTACCTACTACTATACATATAAATTACGTAATTTCTATTTTGCAGAAAACTGTACATGATGTTCATGCATGTTTTGGGAGCTTAGTGCGTGCTGAAATTGGGATTAAAATAAATGAAACTGTCGGGTAAGACATAAGAAGTAATTTTTTATAATTGTTTTTGTATTTAATTTTGCGTTAACTTTCCAATTGATATCAGACGTTTCAGTTTATTTACTAGATTATGATCCATATTTTGGTAGAAATCCCTGTAACTTCAACTGTGATCTATCTAAGTACATATCTTTGTATTATTCGCTTAACTAGAACGCAATTTTATACCACTCCGTAATATTGGGCAACTCTTTGTAAAGTGCGTGTCGAAGATATATTTGTAAAAATTAATTAACTACATAAAGTATTCAGATTTGAATTGTCCCATTAATTTCTTTCAGGGCCTGTGAATCTGTGGACCAGTTCAACACTACGGCAATTAAGCGTTTTCTAAATGTCACTAGTCAGTGCGAGACTGAAAGCGCGAATACTTACAAATATCTCTCCTACAACTTAAATAAGTTCGTCAAAGTTGTTAATCGTACTCTCGGAGATGATAGATATAAAAGTATGTATATAAAAGAAACTACAACAATGTCCAATAGTGGACATGGTCTCTTTCAGACCTCTCAAAACAATAGTGGCGTTTGTCATAATCGCCTCTCTAGGCAGACAATTTCACTATAGCACCAAAACGTCTCTCAGATGTGTAATAATCGGTTTTTATGACACGTACTCAAAGCTGATCTTGTTAATTTGAAATCGACGCTGTTACTCAATAACTTTATTTTGTAGGTACTTCAAAATAAATAAAATTTATTCTACGACTTTCGAAAATTTATGAAATGTCTCGTCATATATTAATATTAAGGCTCCTAGATTTTATTATCGATCGATCGAACAAACACCGTAGCCACGGTGAGGATCAGACGCTAGTTCAAGTCCAGTCAGACCGACGGAATTTTTATTTGTCTTTGTTCGAGCTTTGTATCAATAATAATAACAAACTAGTTGAGTATTTTTACATCAAATATGTGAATATCGTGGTAGCAAAAATATTATGGTATTCAATAAAATAAACACAGCTCTCGGATTTATAAAATAAAATTTATGTATAGGAAAAACTGTAAATACATAATCACATAATTTGTTACTTTTGATCTCCAGAAGAAGCCCTAATAAGTATTAGCTCTGAGCTTATCTTTATACCCTATATTTGGAATGCACATTATCATGCACATTCATGGTACCCCACGTTCATGTAATATATAATTGTCGTTGATGAATTCACAGAGAAGCTGTTAAACATTTGATAAGTTACATGTATTAGATATATGTATTAGTACACGTATTCAGGTTGTTACATTAATACATTTTGAAACAATCGAAAATATACCTTTGTCAAGAACTCAATCTTCAGTTTCATATAGAGACAATTCGTTATTGGTGTACTGATGTTTTTCCTGATATGTAAAAATAAATAATTAATTATGGAAATATTAGTGATGTAGAGAGATTTTTATGTAGAGTAAGTCTTTAAAGTGTTACTTACTTATTTATATAATTTTTTTAGAATTCTTCGAAAACGGTGGTGTAATGTGTGTAAATGAGAAAAAAATCGAGATCCAGAACTGCGTCAGAAATAACACTTTCCGCAATGTGACTATAGCACCTCAATTGTACCTAACAGGGTTTGCTAGGATGAAATTTGTAAGTAATTTGTGAATTAATTAAATATTATTCATCAAGTCAACGACTTTGGGATGACTCTATGACATGGCCAATAACGTCTTGTGTATTATCCAGCTACACTATCAGCTGCCTACCTACTATGCGACAACGGCAAATCCATCATAACATAACTGCCTCTGTGGCCGAGTGGTTACCATGCCGGACTGCCACGCAGAGGTCCCAGGTTCCATTCCCGGGCCGGGAGAAATATTTGTATGGCCTACATTTATTTCTCTCGTGAGTTTGGGTGTAATTTGTGGTTGTCTATGTGTGTCCATGGCACCCGCGACACAGGGTTTCCCTAGTGCGGGGCTATGTTGAGTGTGTGCGTTATTATCTGTTTTGGTGAAGGCTGTGGTCAGCAATGGAGTATGGTGGTGTGGTGATTATAAATAATGTAGGTACTATATATATGTCTTGCAGGGCACGCATGGAGAACATATTTTATTTGATCCCGGAGCAATGGAATTAAAAATAAACTGATTCATCATTGTGTTAGTACTTTATTTTTGGTTTTCTAATTTACTGCTTATACTTTCACAGAAACAAGGCTGTAGTGAGATCTTAGGCATAAAAGACTGTATCGCAAAAGAGTTCCAGAAGTCACCGAAAAACTGCACTGAACACAGCATTACGTACACCAATTTTCTTTTCGACACAGTTTATGGAGAATTTTGCAAAAATGTGAGTACTTTTGGTTTTTTACATGCTTTTCATTTTATTTCTTTATATAATAGTAGTTCTATTCTATATATCTGTAGTTAACTGAAAATAAAATCATAATAGTATAATAAGACCAAGTATGGTAACTCCCATTGACCTACGTAACTCCATATAAAGTAGCAACGCGGCTTTTATATATGTATGCACGTTTGCAGGGCGCCGTGTGCGTATTCGCATAATCTCGCCATGCACTCGGCCGTGTACGGACGCAAACAGTCGCATAATCTCGCCGTGCATTCGCATTTCATAGCGCGGGTCATCCCACGCTCTATTCGTTAAAGAATTTAAACGTTCGCTTTTCGAGTTTAAAAAATGACATCAAATAGTAGGTAGACATGGGTACGTGGGTGTATTATTGCATTTATGGTTGTTCGAACAAAAATGCTTCAAATTTAGAATATTTGTTCTTCTCGATGCTTAATAAGATGTTACATATTTTATAATGTATTATATGAGGTTACATATTTTTCATATATATTTGACGACTTTGGTGGTCCAGCGGTTAGCACTATGAGCTTTAGATAAGGCGCTCCCGAAACGAACATTTCTAAATTGGCTCTGAATTGGGTGTGCAGCGATCCGTCACAGAAATAAATTCATATAGAACGGCGATGGTGTTTTTTTAAAAGGATGAAGCGTATCACCAAACGTTTTGACAAACTCCGCCTACTATGTTATTTTAAGATTGTGTAATTAGTGATAATAAATGTTTTTTTGTTTGAGATCATATTATAAAGTTATGTTTACAACCTGTAGGTACAACTAATATAATAATGTGACAACCCTACACTCCGAACGAAGTGCAGGATTGATGCACCGAACAGACGGGAGTTGCCCTACTTGGTCTTATTATTCTGTGATAGGAGACTTCTCTCAACAAAATATTACATAATGCCTACCTACTGTTAGAAATTTACAGTTCAATTATAGATCTTATTGACATCATATGTCTGACTTACATATCGACAGCTAGATTGAAGTACCGACTTAGGTCACCGTAACCTCAAATTAATAAACTAATTAAGTAGGTACATAATAATAATAATCTAGGACAGAAACAGCATGTCAACTTGTCGCCGAAGAGGGGAATGTAAATACCTAACATTCAATACACATCCATTATTCAATATTCATCGACACGCCTTGTTGTTGGCTAGTAAAAGTGCAACGTTATAAAATTAGATTTTCACTTACCTTCGTGTTATTTTCCTCAGCGAAAATGGACAAATTCGACAGTATCGAGTTCATCAAGAGTTGTGGGAGCACCGGTCAGCATTGCCGTAATCATCTACTTTACCATCTTGCAATTTCAATAATTTTTTTAAGTAGGTACGTTATAATGATACTACCGTGCCTGCAGATTTGCTATTTAACAAAATATGATCAGAATTAGATAATTGTATGAAAATATACCTTCACTTGTTTAAATTATTCCCAGTTTCCTTGCACATCCATTGCCTTCCGATGAGTTTCAAAACTTCGAAAGTAATCATTAATTGTTGTGAACACAGAACACGTAAGAATATTTTTCAATGATTATGAAGCACTTTACCGAGTACCGCGCACTGCAACAATAAGTAGTTTAATACAATTGGTCAGGGTTGCAAAAATCACTGAGGAGGTATTGTATAATGCTTACCGACGAGAACAATAATTCAATGTACTGTATCTAAATTACTTTGGATACACTCTATCCACCTCGATTATTTGAGCAATTCGTTTGCAGCTGAAACAATGTTCTATGATGAATTGGCTACCAATTGGCAACTTTGATGCAATAAGGCCACATCTGCAAAATAACAACTTTTCGGGGGAGAGGTTTAAAGTTTCTGCGAACGAAATAAGATCGAATTGACTTCGAAAGGTCTGTGAGATAATTAAGGAGTGGTTTCATTCATTAACACGAACATCTTTTATCATCAGGCCACTTTGAAATCGCGAAAAAAGAACGACGCAAACTTATGGATTATCGGGTTAATTTAGGACTAACAGTGACGTCTCTTCAGGAATGAGGTTTAAATATTCGGTGAATGAAATTAATCGATAACTTTAATGCTTAAATAGGAAAGTTATAAAATTTCAAATAGGTACACATAGTTTCATGTAGTTCATATTATTTTTATGACTTTCATATGTTAAAATCACTTTTGATTTATGAACCATGCTGTTTTATTATGCCAAGGGAAAGTTTTCCCTACTTTTGGATGACAACTATCGTCACAGTACGTTTATAAAAATTTACTAATTTTTTATGACAAATCGTGAGAAACACAACATTTTTATGAGGAATAAAAAGAAAGTTCTTGCAGTCGTCTTCACAATTGCAATGTGTCACAAATTCATTTTTGATATGCAACCTTTTGACTTTTTTTACAAGGTTTAAAAAAGTGATACAACTTCTTCGTACTTCGATGACAAAGGTACCTTTAAGATAGATAGATAAATACAGAGTTTCTATTTACTCAATGCCCCTCGGCAATCATCGAATTTCCGTATGCACACGAATGGTAATTTCCATGCCCATTAATTGTTAGATTTAAAATAATATATAATTTGAATTTTGAACAACGTACTTTATTGTTGTTTTGATTTGATTTCCGTTTGAACTATATAGAGCTGTGAAAGTATTTCCCTATTTTTAATAACATTTACTCTATGTCAATAAAGAAGTTAACAAAAATATAAAATAAATAAAGTGTGCTTCTTTTATACATAACTAAAAATAAATATTTTTCCGGTTATTCATAATTTGAATTCAGTCTGTATCTGGACGCATTTCTTCATCTGACATAGCTATGTTAGAATTAATTGTTCGCCATCGATGGAATAATCAGTTTCCGCGCTGCACGAACAGATATTTATTATAAAATTGTGAATAAAAAAATTATAATTATTATAATAACTGTAATAAATAAAAAATGGAATAGCAACTCTATATACTTCGAAGTCGACTGAAAGCGTCCGGTGTATACCCAATAAAATATAATGTATTATCTAAGGTCTGTACCAAAGGCAAAGGGCAACTGAATAAAATCCGACTACAGCCGAAACACGATGTTTGCTGACGGACATTGAGAAAATAGAAGCACTGTAGTTGATCTTACAAGATGGACCCTTGGACGAATTTGTTCTAGAGAAAATGTCAAGGCGACAGTTCCATCGGCGGCCGTGTTTAGAATTAATGTTATGCTGTAAATAGGTAAACATATTCATTCATTTAGGAAATGAAACTATTTTTCCGGATTTAAATCGCGTATATTTGTTTTTTCAAACAAACTGACGTTTCGGGCCCGTTACAGTCTGGTCTGGTCATAACTGGTTGAAGACTGTACCACCTCAGTCAACCGTGACCATGGGACCTGTAACGGGCCAGAAACGTCAGTTTGTTTGAAAAAACAAATATACGCGATTTAAATCCGGAAAAATAGTTTCAATTCCTATGTGCAACAATCGCGAAAACCTAAGAACTCGATATATTCATTGATTGTGAATTTCAACACTAAACTATATAACGTGTTTTCTTTTAATTTATAGTATTTTATATAATATCAGGATAGTGCGTGCTATCGAATCTGGATTCGACAAGAAATTCACTATAGGAATTTTATACATTTTAGAATTCCATATCTATCTATGGTCCTTTTTTATAATATCAAGTGACGGGACGAACAAGTCGTGCGCCTGATGATAATCTACATGTCCGTCCAAAACAGTTGCAGTGCCACTCAGAGCTTTAAATGACAAGTCCAATGTGCCTGTAATTTCACCAGCACCCTTAATTTTCAAAACCGGGACACAGGAATGCTGACATTACCGCTTGGCAACAGAAATAGGTAAGGTGGCAATACCTCTCTGGACGAACTCTTTCACAAGGAGCTCTACTGCTACTAAATCTATATCAATATCTATGTACCAATATCAATAACTACTATTACTTTCAACTTGTAGTTTTTCAACTTTTTAGTTGATCACACCAGACATACTATTTGTTGAAAGTTTCATTCTTGGCCAAAGACGAGGAAATTCCGGTTTCGATTCCCACAAGGACAAATTTAGGAAATTATTTTTTAAATTAGTTCTGGGGCCTTACCATGAACTTTTATTGCGATTCAGTTTAGGACCTAAAATGAATCGTTGTGAGACAGCGCTACATGAAGTGTATATCACCATCCCGCTTTTTTGTAGTTACGAACCTATATTGAACTGTAATAAGAATTCATGGTAAGGCTCCTGGTCTAAGGTACTCCACTGCTCGTGTACTTATGGCACAGGGAATAGCTATTTCGGTAACAGGTAGCTGGTGTGATTGTTTGGCACTTTATTGTTATTATTACATGGCGTCCAAGTTTCCAGGTTAGAAATTGTCAGTATGCCAGCAGCACTCAATCAGTGGCTGTGTGTGTGTGTGTGTGTGTGTGTATTTTTCGAATTCGGTATAATTGGATTAAGTTAACAACAGAATCATCGAAATCGATCAAGTGACGCGTCAATTTCTATTTACTTATATTAATTATGTGCTCTGTGATAAGACCCTGTAAGTACCTATAGAGGAGAAGGAGGCACCTAGGAACAGGGGAACATTAGAACAAATTCGTTTGCGTAATTTGAATGAAAATGTAGTAGGAATTAAGTTTATAATATGGCAACACCGAGTTCTTCACCTGACAATGGCAACGGTCAGTGTGCGCACGCCGACCCACGTGGCGCCGACAACTGAGACGTCGTATTCAGCTTCTGCATCGAAAACTAAACATTCTCAAAATTAGTTGTAAGGATAATGGTGAGTTGAACTTTGCTTGTCGTATGGATTGTTTTATTGCTAAAATATTAAACCAACAGCTTGCAATCATTGAGTGTTTTTATGAAAAATATTTGTTGTCTTGTAGAGTACTCATTGGGGCCGACTTGAACAAATCAAAGGGGGCAGCTTTAAATACGTTTAGATGGGTATTTTAAAAAAATATTTCAGAAAGTTTAATGGCCATTTCCCAAAAGTTGAGGTTTTCGCTTAGCGACGTTATTGATTTCAACGTGCGATATGTAGTAGTTACATAAAAAATAATGAATAATTTTTAATTTAATGTGAGTATTTTGCTGAATAGTGATGCCAGAGTTCTGATTAGTTTCCTCTGCTAATATTTTTGTAAGAAGTTGTTTTGTTTATTTTTTTAGTTATTTTTGTTATGTTTTGTAGTATTCCTGTGAATTTATAATTACTTATTACTTAGTTGTTAATTTTGTATTTATTTTTTATATTGCAGTTAATAATTTTTGAGTTTCGCTTCGTCCAACTGTTTTTTTTTTGTAATAGTCCAGTGATTATAGTTTTAACTAAATTGATTTAAGAACTATAGACACATATTTTAAAAGATTTTTAATAACATATTTAGTAAAAATATTTTTATTTAAATTAATGAATTCAAATGTGCTGTCGGCGAGTTCAAAGCTGCCGTGCACCTTTGAATATTTGAGTTTCTTCACAAAAATGGTAATTCTGACAGAATTATAAACTTTTTGATCAGCTTATTATGAATGATTATAGCTGATGTATAAATTATAACTACTAAATTAAACTGCAGCTAACACAACAAATAATAATGATGATTTAAAATTTTATAACTAGATATGTAAAAATGTTCTAAGGTACCTCCTCCCCTATGCACGTTTATGTAAAACGTGAAAAATAAACTTGTTTCTCTATTCCTAATAAAAAAAAATAAAGAAAAGAAAGGAAAAGAAACAAAAGAAAAGAGAAATAAGAAAAAAATTAAAGATAACAATTGTTTATGTATTCATATGATCAGTGAAGTAAACAAATACAGATTCCTCTTAAGACGCATAAAACTGTAAACAACACGTGCAGGAGTAAACGGCTTCGCGATTGTTACACATAGGAAATGAAACTATTTTTCCGGATTTAAATCGCGTATATTTGTTTTTTCAAACAAACCGACGTTTCGGGCCCTTTACAGGTCCCATGGTCACGGTTGACTGACTCAACCGTGACCATGGGACCTGTAAAGAGCCCGATGTCGGTTTGTTTGAAAAAACAAATATACGCGATTTAAATCCGGAAAAATAGTTTCATTTCCTATACGCTAACTAGTTGATTATGCTACATCTCTGTTATGGAAGGGTCTTAAAAATTCCCACCGCGCCACCAGTGGTTCGCTTAACATTACTATGAGTCCCTCGGGTGTTAAACTGGACTCTATTGAAAACTTCCAATTACTTGTATATAAATACCATTTTAAATCTAGCATCAATGAAACGCGTGTACAACAGTGGAGTTATGCTGCTGTAGACTGTTTTGAAA